ACTTATTAGTTCCTTATTATTGTACTTATAAGAAATATGATAGGTCTTGATCAAACAGCTAGCACCCTGAAAATGTTAGGCGCTTAAATATTCCAAGTGATGGTAAATCACTTAAATCTCAAGATGTTCGCCATATTTGATTCTGATCTGTACTTAAAAATGCATTTAAAAGAATAAGAATAATCAATTTATCTGATTCTACACAAGTTTTTTGGGTTAATATTTTTAATACCTCCCACATTTAAATAAAAGTAAATCTTATTTCATATTTGATCCACCATTTTCTACATAGGGAAATGCCTGTACCAAGTCAGGTATATGACAGTTGTTTTCCATTCGTTGATGTGTTTGAGCTTTTGATATTGCCATTTGATAAAGGACTTCCCCATTTGATTTTTCTATTGAGTTCGGTATTTTTATTATTTTACTTTTTTTTTATAGTATTTTAAATTTTGTTACACTTACATTTTTGCATAAAATTGATACAATTGTAACAATAAATTTATGTTGAAAAGAAACTGTGATGGCCAAAATCCTGTCTTTCAAGATAATACGCAAACATGCAAAAAGTTGTTAAATTGTGAATAGAGGGCAACAATTCCTTTAAGGATTTCTTTTTACAATTTCATTCATATCGTTTTTAGATCCAATTGTTGCTGATAATTCATGTTGGTCAAAGTTTAAGTCTATCTATTATAGTTAAAGACAAGTCACCCTACCTTACAAAATTTGTTCTGGCTAGAAGCCAATCTGAGTCTATTAGCAACCAGTCTTTGCTCTTACTCATACAAGCTGTGTGCTTAATGCAGCAAACACCATTTTTAAAGTCTCCATTAGCAAAGATATTTATATGATTTTGGTTCAGTTGACAGAGTAGGCTTGCAGTGCTTGAAGTCCAAATGTTCATTTCTGGTTGTACAGTTTTAACTTTGAAAGGAAAACAATGCTATACTTTTATGTTAAAGTTAATAGTTACTTTAATTCGCTTTGCAAAGGCACAAATGTGGACTTTAAGCTTTGTATAAAGACTTTTTGGCTTCTATTATCCCCAAAAATAATCATGTTTCTTTGGCATTTAAAATCAACATTCACATGAAGATAAAGACAATACTGTGGATACATTTATTTTCGAGGAAACCAATTTTCATTAATTAATGAAAAGTTGTATATTCGTGGATATGGTTTTACAAAAGTCTGCATACAAGCATATAGAAAATTTGTACTTTGCTGAATATTTAAATATGTAGTTAAACTTTACCCATGAAATCCATGTAAAATTGGTATCCCCTGAATAATGATGAACCCACAGTAGCACAAGTCAATTCTAACTACCTCTAATGTTATAAAACTAAAACCAAAAATCCAGAAATATCAATATAAGAAGTGAATTATATATATTTCAAACTGTGACTTAAAAACTATTTTGTAAACCATATATGAAAAATATACCAGAGAAACAACTCACCTAACTGTCAACGTTTCTCTCTTGTACTATTGAGATGTTAAAACCTTCCAGAGAATGCAGCCAGGTTAATTACAGGTGTAAAAACATCATTAGATCCAATTGAATACAAAAAAATCTAGGTATGAACAGAAAATCACTCAATATCCTATATCACGGAAAATTTATTCTTACTAGTAATGGCAAATCATGTAATAATTGTTAGGTCACTGCACGTCAAACTCACAGTTTATAGAAATTCATTAATTTGGATTTTGGATAAAAATAAATTCAGGCATTTATTCAAATAAATTTGAATTAAACATTATTGCCTCAATAAAATGTGTTGAATATTAGTTACATTTATTTGAATCATAACGTGATAAATTATTGCACTCAAAATCTCATGAAAACTTGACACAATGTCAATCACGACCATAAAAGTATTAGGATTCAAGAAATCTAATAAAATTTGAAATTTTAATCTCTAGCTACAAGTTTTGTCCATTTATAACTCCTCCTTGAATGGTGTTTAATCAATATCTGATTGATAACTAATACATACTATATAAAGTATCATAATATCCTTGTTTTGTGATAAAAGTTCATTTTCACATGCATGCAAACTATCACGTTAATTTACAAATGGCATTAGAACTATAAAATAACAGGGATAAGCCAGTCAATGATTATTTAATACACATCTGTATCCAGAACAGTATCAATTGATTATTTATAGCAATTAGAATATTTTGTTCCTCCTAATTATTCCAGTATTACCCTATAATTGAATATATGATGTTTGGGACATAGTTCTTCTTTCCACTGGTCACATAAACTTAATGGAATTACAGTATTTGTTATAAGTTATTGGCTTTTGTTGAGAGACATGAGATAATCTGGTACTCAAGTAGACAAGATATCAATACTGATAAATAATTCATTTTAAAAATTCTACCTTTACAGACTATCTATCAAACAATTACAGAGTTATACCACTAGTTTTATACTTGATGACTTTGTTACTCCAATGTATATATGATGATCTAGACACACCTTTATACAATACAGGAGTTTCTTTATCCATTAGTTTTATAATTGATTTGCTACCATTGTGTCATGTTCCAAGCATTGTCTTTTTCTATAGGTGTGAACAGAGGGGTGAAAAAGACCCCCTTATGGAATATAAAAGATAAAAGAACAGAGTTCTAATGTCCACCTTGTTGCACATATTTTATCTGTCCAAGAGCAATAACTAAATAAATGGAGAATGTGTCCATGGGACACAGATGATGCCCCGCTTGCATATAACGTTATAAAGGGACATAACAAGAGAACAGTAAAAGTGATGCCACCCAAATTCAAACTTGATCTGTGTTTTATGGTAATAAGCATTGTGTATAAGTTTGGGATGTACTGACGAATGTATGTACGGACGGACGGGTGTACAGACAGACAAAGGTAACACTTAATGCCCCCTTCACCTAGCGGCAGGGCATAAATGTTTTTTTTTTTGTTATTTATAACTTTTTTAAATTATCTAAGAGAGTTGAAGACTGAAGAGCAATTCCTGATTTCTCAAATATTTAATATTTCCAAGGGGCATAACTCATTAAAAATATTTGATCAGCACTTATTTTCAAAATTGTCAGACATTGCTGTTTTATCAAATGATATGAATTTGACAAATCTGGCAAAAATTGTACATGTGAGAGCACTTACAATGCAAATTTCCATATAATTCATACTTCTGAGGGTATAAATCTTTTAAAATAATTGATCAGTACTGATTTTTCGAACATGAGAGTGCTAACAATGCAATTTTTCCGTATAATTAAAGTTTCTAAGGGGCACAACTCTTTTCAAAATAGTTGATCGGCACTGATTTTCGACTCTTCCGAGACATTGCTCATATAAATCTATGATATAAGTTTTATAAAAATCTGGCAAGAATTGAACAGGTGAGAGCCCTAACAAGACCGGGCAATAGGACATACAGACAGATGAAGGGACGAACAGACGTAAAGGACTGACAGATAGGTCAAAAACATACCCTAGTTCTGTGGGGTATGATTATACAATAGTAGACTTTTTCTACAAATGCAATAGTTCCAAGAGGTCACTGACCTTTTTAATGTTCCATTACTTTACATTGTGAACTTTTTTCAATATAATTATTTTTCAGGCAAAGTATACATAACTTGATGATATTCAAGATTTAAAAAAAAATTATGTATGCTTTTAGAACTAGTTGAACTACATCTACACATGGTATTCAAACAATCATGTGTGTAGCATTTATACTTCAAGAGATAAAATAAATTAAAAATTTGTGAAATAGGTCTGTATAGAATGTATACAAAAGAGCAGACAATAATATGAATTCTTTTCACTTTATACTGCCATTTCTCAAATCTCATAATTCTGTTTACAGATCATACATTATTACTGTAAACATTTAAGTATGAAAGCTGTATGAAAAAATTAAATAAAAGAAGAATGTGTATGAGGACAATTTTAAAAAGTTAAAATGGGGCATAACTCTAGAACGGTAAGTGACTCACTGCCTTAAAATGGGGCATAACTCTAGAACGGTAAGTGACTCACTGCCTACATTCGAACTGGGTCTGCTAGTTTTGGTTCTCAGCATTGTGTATGAGTTTCATAAAATTTGGATGAGGAAAACAAAAGATAGAGTGGAAACGAAAATAGGACGGACGGATAGATGGAAGGATATAGAACTGTCAAGGGTAACACTTAATGCCCTGTTGCCTACAGCGGGTGCATAAAAACTACAATTCTGCTGACTTATTGATTTCTACTAGTAACACAAAATCTGATGATCTCTTAATATTTTCCTTCCATTAAAATGAAATATTCTTGGATTTGAAGTATTATAATTCTTGATGGTCCAATAGAAGTTTTTTTGGACAAGTAAATGGTCAAGTGAACTGAATGTCAAGTGATAATCATCTAGAACCTTAAACCTGTATCTTTATTATTTGATGTTTTGTTATTTCAATAAATTGTAATAAAATTCATTGAAGTTAAACTCTCTAGATGGTTGAGGAGTTTCCACTAATCACTGAAGATCATATCAAGCTTCAATTGTTTGTCTGTCCACTATTGATTGCTTCAGGAACATAACCCCATATCTTGTCATCTTTATATCTATATTAATCATGATTATTTTTGAATCCATTCATGACTGACACGATTGAAAAAAGTAGCAATTACAAAATACAAAAACATTATTCAGTACTACCTAACAGCAATTTAAAAGTCACACAGTATTTTAGGAGAAAATCACAGTTTGTAAATTATAAAGATAAACATAAATGTGAAATAAACTTTGACGTCTTTGTTTTGAGATATTTACCTTTAAGTTAAAAAATCCAATGTGAAAATCAAAACTGTCAAGATTAAATCTTCTTGACTGACTAATACTTTAGTGAATCGTGTTACATAAACGTGTAGTATTTGTTTTGGTAGGACTAACTATGATATAAGGCCCAAATACAAATTCCTAGGGTTAAAATATCTTAATTGCGTGTTCTCGTATGATAAGGGTGTTATACACATATGTTTTAAATGGGTGTACCAGAAATCTAAGAATTCGCCAATTGTGAATACACCTTCTATCAAATGAATGTATATTTGACATCTATTGTGTAAGTTAGTTATACTATATAAACAGCACATTTAATTTCAGAGAAGGTTTTACTGTTTCAGTATAACACATACATCATAGATTTTTTCCTAATAATAATTCAATTATTGTTATGATTGCACTTAAGGAACATTTCCTACGAGGAAGTCTACCTTAAATTAACATGTTTAAAAGTAGTCTAAATTTTATGAACATTGGATAACAAGTGGTCTACACATTAAAAAAATCAATTCTGTACCAGCACTCAAGATTTCTGCTCAAAAATCAAGAAAAATTATGTCTTAGCTAAAATGATTTTTGACATACATGTATGTAAGCTAAAACAAAGTTGATAAAATAAAAAAAAATATATTGATGTTGAAATGACAAATAAATATTTTGTAGCATTTTCTTTCTGAAGAGAATTTTTTTTGACAGAGAGGTTATAATTAATATTTCAGAAAATCTTCCTACTTTTTAATTTGAAGTCATTTCTACAAATACAGCTGACAAAATTTCAGGACAGAAATTAAAATAAATTTTTTTTTTTCATTTTATAAAAATCAAGAGAGACATTGTAATTTTCATTGTTCTGACTTATAATGGTATTGTGTGGTTTGCAGAATCATTTTTGTACAACCTGTTTTCCTCTCTGATTCAATAACTGTTTTGATTCTCGGGGAATACACTATGATATCCTTGTAGGATATCATCAGTTAAGTTCTAGTTCCCAATATATTAAAAGCAGAATGAGATTTATAGGATATGGTTTTTTTTCAATACTAATTCAAATATATGTAAATGAATGTCAATTTGTGAAAGATACTGACAATACCATCTATGCATTAAATTAACAGCTCACTTTGACCTCATGAGGACTTTCTTATTCATTTACAGTAACCAAACAAACATATGCCTGAACTTAGTTTGACCTAACTTAATTTGACTTACTTGTTTGTTTGTTAGGAATCATGATGACCTCTAATCACTTCAGTGTAGAAGAGACTCTACAAAATATGTCTTGCTTCACTTTGACACATCCATTTGCCTATAAAATAATAAAAGCAGTTGTTAGTATACTAAATCTATTTGTCCCAAAAACACTTAGAGTATAAATATCAGTAATATGGTCACTTAGTAAAAGGAAATAACTTTATAAATGTCATCTACCCAAAGCACTTTTCTGAATATATACCTTCATCAGGAAAGTTCAAACCAAAACATCTTATAAAGCTTGGATATAAACAAGTAGATACTGTAGGAACAATGTGACCAAAACATCTTATAAAGCTTGGATATAAACAAGTAGATAGTGTAGGAACAATGTGATCAAAACATCTTATAAAGCTTGGATATAAACAAGTAGATACTGTAGGAACAATGCCACCAAAACATCTTATAAAGCTTGGATATAAACAAGTAGATACTGTAGGAACAATGTGACCAAAACATCTTATAAAGCTTGGATATAAACAAGTAGATAGTGTAGGAAAAATGTGATCAAAACATCTTATAAAGCTTGGATATAAACAAGTAGATACTGTAGGAACAATGCCACCAAAACATCTTATAAAGCTTGGATATTAACAAGTAGATACTGTAGGAACAATGCGACCAAAACATCTTATAAAGCTTGGATATAAACAAGTAGATACTGTAGGAACAATGCGACCAAAACATCTTATAAAGCTTGGATATAAACAAGTACATACTGTAGGAACAATGTGACCAAAACATCTGATAAAGCTTGGATATAAACAAGTAGATACTGTAGGAACAATGCCACCAAAACATCTTATAAAGCTTGGATATAAACAAGTAGATACTGTAGGAACAATGTGACCAAAACATCTTATAAAGCTTGGATATAAACAAGTAGATAGTGTAGGAACAATGTGACCAAAACATTTTATAAAGCTTGGATATAAACAAGTAGATACTGTAGGAACAATGTGACCAAAACATTTTATAACGCTTGGATATAAACAAGTAGCTAGTGTAGGAACAATGTGACCAAAACATCTTATAAAGCTTGGATATAAACAAGTAGATACTGTAGGAACAATGTGACCAAAACATCTTATAAAGCTTGGATATAAACAAGTAGATACTGTAGGAACAATGTGACCAAAACATCTTATAACGCTTGGATATAAATAAGTAGATACTGTAGGAACAATGTGACCAAAACATCTTATAACGCTTGGATATAAACAAGTAGATACTGTAGTAACAATGTGACCAAAACATTTTATAAAGCTTGGATATAAACAAGTAGATACTGTAGGAACAATGCGACCAAAACATTTTATAAAGCTTGGATATAAACAAGTAGATAGTGTAGGAACAATGTGACCAAAACATCTTATAAAGCTTGGATATAAACAAGTAGAAAGTGTAGGAACAATGCGACCAAAACATCTTATAAAGCTTGGATATAAACAAGTAGATACTGTAGGAACAATGCGACCAAAACATTTTATAAAGCTTGGATATAAACAAGTACATACTGTAGGAACAATGTGACCAAAACATCTTATAAAGCTTGGATATAAACAAGTAGATACTGTAGGAACAATGTGACCTAAACATCTTATAAAGCTTGGATATAAACAAGTAGATACTGTAGGAACAATGGGACCAAAACATTTTATAAAGCTTGGATATAAACAAGTAGATAGTGTAGGAACAATGTGACCAAAACATCTTATAAAGCTTGGATATAAACAAGTAGATAGTGTAGGAACAATGCGACCAAAACATCTTATAAAGCTTGGATATAAACAAGTAGATACTGTAGAACAACTTTATAAAATGTTTTGGTCGCATTGTTCCTACAGTATCTACTTGTTTATATCCAAGCTTTATAAGATGTTTTGGTCACATTGTTCCTACAGTATCTACTTGTTTATATCCAAGCTTTATAAGATGTTTTGGTCACATTGTTCCTACAGTATCTACTTGTTTATATTCAAGCGTTATAAGATGTTTTGGTCACATTGTTCCTACAGTATCTACTTGTTTATATCCAAGCTTTATAAGATGTTTTGGTCACATTGTTGATATAAACAAGTAGATACTGTAGGAACAATGCCACCAAAACATTTTATAAAGCTTGGATATAAACAAGTAGATACTGTAGGAACAATGTGACCAAAACATCTTATAAAGCTTGGATATAAACAAGTAGATACTGTAGAACAACTTTATAAAATGTTTTGGTCGCATTGTTCCTACAGTATCTACTTGTTTATATCCAAGCTTTATAAGATGTTTTGGTCACATTGTTCCTACAGTATCTACTTGTTTATATCCAAGCTTTATAAGATGTTTTGGTCACATTGTTCCTACAGTATCTACTTGTTTATATTCAAGCGTTATAAGATGTTTTGGTCACATTGTTCCTACATTATCTACTTGTTTATATCCAAGCTTTATAAGATGTTTTGGTCACATTGTTGATATAAACAAGTAGATACTGTAGGAACAATGCGACCAAAACATTTTATAAAGCTTCGATATAAACAAGTAGATACTGTAGGAACAATGTGACCAAAACATCTTATAAAGCTTGGATATAAACAAGTAGATACTGTAGGAACAATGCCACCAAAACATCTTATAAAGCTTGGATATAAACAAGTAGATACTGTAGGAACAATGTGACCAAAACATCTTATAAAGCTTGGATATAAACAAGTAGATACTGTAGGAACAATGTGACCAAAACATCTTATAAAGCTTGGATATAAACAAGTAGATACTGTAGGAACAATGTGACCAAAACATCTTATAAAGCTTGGATATAAACAAGTAGATACTGTAGGAACAATGTGACCAAAACATCTTATAAAGCTTGGATATAAACAAGTAGATACTGTAGGAACAATGCGACCAAAACATTTTATAAAGCTTGGATATAAACAAGTAGATACTGTAGGAACAATGTGACCAAAACATCTTATAAAGCTTGGATATAAACAAGTAGATACTGTAGGAACAATGCGACCAAAACATTTTATAAAGCTTGGATATAAACAAGTAGATACACTGTAGGAACAATGTGACCAAAACATCTTATAAAGCTTGGATATAAACAAGTAGATACTGTAGGAACAATGTGACCAAAAGAATCCCCCCAAAAAAATACAAAATTCAACTATGTCAGCTATGCCTGAGGGAGTTGGAACCTTAGTTCCTAAAAATATCAACTTGGGATCTTAAGAAAATTATGTTATAGTCTTGTATGTTTTGGTGTTGAAGAAATTTTTTTTTTCACTTTAGTTGTTATTGGTTACTAGCTTTCAGTTACTGAGACTACTCTCAGAAAAAATACTTTGTGTCGATAGTCAATTTGTTATTTTTTATTTTGGTGTTTTGTATAATTTATCTGATGAGTCAATTAGCTTTACCAACTGATATTTATGGATAATTCTTATGTTTTTCTGATACACGACTGTCCAAGTTTAGGAGAGGTTTTGGCTCTCGCAAAAAAAAGTTAAACCCAGTCACATTCTGTATTCTTATGTCCCAAGTCATGGGCATGTAATTCAGTGGTTGTAGCTTGTTGCTGTATATCAGATTTGTTTTTTGTTTATTAATTTGTACATAAATTAGGTTGTTGGTTGTCTTGTTTATCTTGTTTTACATTTTATCATGTTGGGACTTTTATAGCTTACCAAACAATTATGGGATTTGCTCATTGTTGAAGGCTGTACAAAAACCTATTGTTGCTAACATCTACATCATCAATTCTCTGGTCAATAGTTGACTCATTAAAATTTTAAAGATCAAATTTACTCGAGGGGATACACAAATTATTGTAATCATAATATTAACACAAAAAAAAAAAATCACCAAATTTGCACTTTGCAGTACCACAACATTAGACATATTCTGTCACATTTTTTGCCACAGTATATTAAAACAACAACTAGTCAAACTGGAACATTACATTTACACAATCTCACTACAATTTCTTAACTTGTGTCATGATGCTTTGCTTGTAATGATCCTACACTACTCAACGCTTCATTTTACCTTCTGATTTGAAGACCTCATGATCTTTTGATATTGTCCAATATGACCTTCAAACTTGAGGGCAAATTTACATGGGTTGAGGTATAAAAATTATCAAAAAGGAAAGTAGAACGGAGAGCTGTGAGATCCTTGTAAACAAAGTGTGGATACAGAAGGAGAGTGTATTTTGAACAGATTAAATAATACACATTATACAGTTTACAATGTTTATAGGCAAATAATATAGTGTACATCATAACTTATTTGTCATTTAATTGAATTGAAAGCTTTTAAATTTCAGTTCATTACTTAAGACGATAGATCAATATTTCTTGACCTAAAATTTTGTTTTGTATTTTGTATTTAAATGTGTACATTACTAAATATAATTTTTATGTTTTTAAACCTCAGGCTACTGGAGTTTTACTTAAAGAAAGCAAAACATTAAAAAAAAGATAAATTACATTGAAAGATTGCATCTTGTTTCCATAACAATATAAAAACTACATACATGTTTGTTGTACAGGCAGTTAAATATATTCTTCAAAAACATGGAAAAATTAAATCCATTGAAAATGTATGAGAGAAAATGATGGCATGTCACAAATTGAAAACATTTCCACTTGAGAAATAACCTCACATAAAACATTTAAAAAATCCAGTTTAAATTCTTTATTTATTATCTTACAAGATAAATAAAGACTGATCCTTATAAAAACAATAAATATTTTTTTACAAAGCATTAACATTCAAAGAACTCCAACATTTACATTTTTGCTGATTTTTTGCTGTATTTAGAATATTAGGAACAGCCAAATTAGCTAGAAGATTAGTCTATTCACCATTTTGTTAACACCTATTAAATCTTCCTGTGTGATAGCTGAACAAAAGTTTATTGTATCTACATTAACTTAAATCAATCAGGTAATAGTACATACTCATAATATCTACATAAAACAAAATACTTGACCAGACGTTGTCCGAAAACAGGAAGAAAACCAAATAAATACATGTATACACTTATATTTTTTTAGCTTACTTATAAGTAGCTGATAACACATGTTAATACAGAACAGTTGTATCCAGATGCATCAAGCCAGGGATATTACTTTTAATATATATTATCAGGGGTCATGAAGCTCAATGTTTAGTTTTGTGTTATTGGGGGTCATGATGCTCAAGCTTTAGTTTTGTGTTATTGGGGGTCATGAAGCTCAAGCTTTAGTTTTGTGTGCAATGTTTTATGGACAGTTGTTTATCTTTTTGTTCTTCTCCTTTTTGCCATCCTTGTCAGTCTTATTCTTTGATCTATGGTTTTTGATTGACCTTTTGTATCTGTTTCGTTTGATTCAGTACAGCATGCAACTATTATTGCTTCTAAACAATGACAATAAACTACTCAATGTATATATTTAAAAGATGCAGATAGCACATACGAATACACTGTCAGTCCAGTTTACTAGTCCAATATGAATACAATGTCAGTCCAGTTTACAAGTCCAATATGAATACAATGTCGGTCCAGTTTACTAGTCCAATACGAATACAATGTCAGTCCAGTTTACAAGTCCAATATGAATACAATGTCAGTCCAGTTTACTAGTCCAATACGAATACAATGTCAGTACATTTTACAAATCCAACTTATAGTTTCTACAAAAAACTAAAATCTCTTTAAAACAATATGCAATGTATAAGGTAAAATACACCTACCCCATAAAATAGCTCACTGTCTTCCTTTCTATCAATTATTAAAACCTTCTGTTTAATACCTTTATTAAAATTTAAAGTCCGTTGATTTTTCAAAGTGACTTTTACCCACAGTTTTTTTTTAAATCTTGAGCGAGTCCATAAAACTACTAATTGAGTTGGAGAATAGATCTCCCTTTGAGACATAAAAGTGTTACAAGAAATAAAATTTTACAGCAGAGCAATAATTATTCTTCTTTTTGGTCTTCATCTAATTATGCACTCCTGATACTGTCTTCATAAAACTTAACTTTTTTAAAAGTTAATCATGTTGCTGTCAGAACTAATATTCAAAATGTAACGACCGTTGGGTTGAAATGGGAATATAATTATTGTCAAGAAAATGAATAAATAATTATTTTCTAATGTTTTTGTACTAATATACTTTTGAAGAGCTTCTCCACTACAATAAAAGTCATATAAAATACATAATGAAATGCTCATAAACCAAATTCTTCTATATGTAGTAAAGTGCACCATTATGTAAGATAGTAAGCTGTTGCCATTTGTCAAGCTTTGATCATTTTACAATGACAGATTTGTATTATGTCAAGACAGATTTAAATGAATAAAGAAATGGAGATGTCACAAATGACAGGTAATCCACCTGCTTATTATCTATTTCATACTTTTCAAAAATTCAAATCATTAATGAAGGTCAAGGTAATCCTATTTTAGTGTGGAATTATGTCTTTGAACTTGTTACATCAACTGATAAAAAATTATTTCCTCTATGTTTTGTTGTTGCTAAGTTCTTGACCTTTTAGCAAAACTTAACCAAAGCTACATGTATCATACCTTAAAAGAATGTCAAGCTCACCTAATTTTAAAGTTGACCTTTGTCACTACTTATAATGCATCAACTGGCAAAACATCTTTTTTCTTTTATTGTCAGTTACTTTGATTTGGACTCAAATAAAAAAAAACTTTTCGACGACAGAGATAATGTATGTGAAGTTCTAAGAATGTGATAAGCCAGAAATAATGTATGTGAAATTCTAAGAATGTGATAAGCCAGAAATAATGTATGTGAAGTTCTAAGAATGTGATAAGCCAAAAATAATGTATGTGAAGTTCTAAGAATGTGATAAGCCAAAAATAATGTATGTGAAGTTCTAAGAATGTGATAAGCCAAAAATAATGTATGTGAAGTTCTAAGAATGTGATAAGCCAAAAATAATGTATGTGAAGTTCTAAGAATGTGATAAGCCAGAAATAATGTATGTGAAGTTCAAGTCACCTGTTTGTTATTGGCTATTCATTGTACAAATATTTACAGTAGGTTTTCAATTCATACAAATGCTGATCTTTTATTGGCTGAAAGAGGAAATATTTGATTCCTTCATACGAAAACAGCCCATGCCTTAAGAACAGGAAGGAAGCAGCCCATGCCATATAAAAGCAACCCAAGCTGTATGAAAGCAAAATAAAAATAATTAGATCTGCATACCTTATTAATCAACACTATTTGGTGGCATTGTTTGTATACTTCGTGAAACCGATTATGCACTTACAAAAATTAAATTATTTGAAAAAAGTAGTTGACAATATAATATCTTGTAAATTATTACATGGAAAATTGATATAAATATAAAACTATAAACTATTATCCTGATATACATGTATAATAGTGATGAAATTTGATGAATATTTTATGAGCTACCTACTTTGAAATCGACATCTTTACAAGCCAATTTTAGTTATTTGATACAGGATTGATTCCAGGATTTTATGCTAGGGGGTGGGGTGCTCATGAGAATTAGAAGTTAGAGGACAATATTGTGACAAAAAATAGACTGTTAAATTACATTTGTTTTTTTCTTTTTTCAGGGAGCACCTGTGATGTATTATAAAACAAAGTAAAATAACAAAAATACCAAACTCAAAAGAAAATTCAAAACAGAAAGTCCTTTATCAAATGGCAAAATCAAAAGCTCAAACACATCAAACAAATGGAAAACAACTGTCATATTCCTGATTGATTTCACATGGAATGATATCCTTTGCTTTCATCTCACTTGACAATTTCTGTTGAATGTTTTGTGTTAAAAGTTTTACATTCAGATTCAAAATGTGAATAGTATATATTTTCTATTTCAAAAATTTGTAAATATAAGACTTAAAATTGAGAATGGAAATGGGGAATGTGTCAAAGAGACAACAACCCGACCAAAGAGCAGAAAACAGCCCAAGGCCACCAATGGGTCTTCAACACAGAGAGAATATCCCACACCCTGAGGCGGGCTTCAGCTGGCCCCTTAAACAATCAACGCGCGAAAGCGCTGTAAAGGCAGTTAATTACAGGTTGTGTGTATTTTTAGTCCAGTTATATCATTATCTTGCATAGTACAGTGTACTTATCAGAGGTGGCTTTCAGTATTTAAGATTTAGAGTTCTCTAATGATATTGAACAAGTTTTATGAATGTCATATTCTGAGCACTATATGAAGGCGTTTGTTCTCACTTGTTTATGAACTTGTGCATTATATCCAGTTTGTACCTTTTTTATCTATGTTTATAGTCAAATTAGTTATCAAAGGTACCAGGATTATAATTTAATACGCCAGACTCGCGTTTCGTCTACATAAGACTCATCAGTGACGCTCAGATCAAAATAGCTATAAAGCCAAACAAGTACAAAGTTGAAGAGCATTGAGGACCCAAAATTCCAAAAAATTGTGCCAAATACGGCTAAGGTAATCTATTCCTTGGATAAGAAAATCCTTAGTTTTTCGAAAAATTCAAAGTTTTGTAACAGGAAGTTTATAAAAATGACCATATAATTGATATTCAAATACTGTTTAAAATAGTTAGGCATTTTCTTTTTAGAAATAAGTAAATGTTATCAACTGTATTTTATTCAACTCTGCAAATGTGGTTTGTTACTGGTAAGTATGGATGATAGTTGTTTCATTGGCAATCATAACACATCTCCTTATTTATATAATGATCTATATTCAATGACCTCAGGTACAAAAAAAATGTATGTAACTAAACTGTGATGGGAAACCTTTGACTTCTTTCTTTTATATAAACTTTTGATTTGGTACCATAGAACTATGTAGAATAAATGTACATTGCAACATGTCAACTCTTTCAATGACAATACTTTTTTAGAAACTATAACTCCAAGCAAAATTATATTTCCAAGTTTAAAGTAATTTATGAATGAAAAAAGGAGTTCTTAATTAAGAAATAAACTGATTCGCTGAGCGCAGCTGGATACACCGCAGAGGTCCAACCCTGAACAGTTGGGGCAAAAATGGACACAATATTCAAGCTTGATACAGGTCTGTATTTGGATTGTAATTAAATATTTTACATATTATAGTTTCTGAATAAATGTAGTCAAAGAACTTGAAATCGGTTATATGAATTGAATTTATATTCAATTAAAGATTTCTTGCTGTTGTGCAATAAACTGTGCTGTTGCGCAATACTTAATAAATCTGTTGCCAGACTATAAAGAATAAAGTTCAATTTCTTCTCAATGTCATATTTGAAATTTATGAAAATCTATAGGGAGATTACATCAATAGCTATAAATAATTCACCCAAGTTTCATGCGAACTGCTTAAAGCATTTTTGAGTTGTTGTCCAACAACAGTGCACACGCTGAAATGTCTCGCCTTCTTTACTCGAAAGGGAGCTCATGTCAATAGATATAAACAATTCACCACAATTTCTTGCAAGTTGGTGAAAGCATTCTTGACTTATTGTCTGAAAACTGGAAAATCCCCCTTTTTTTAATGAATAAAACCCCATAACTCGGAAACGTAAAATCTAAATTTTATAAAAAATGAAAGGGAGCTCACGTCAATAGATATAAACAATTCACCAAAGTTTTTTGCAAATTGGTAAAAGCATTTTTGAGTTAATGTCCGACATGTTGACGACGGACTGACAGACGGACAACGGTATACCATAATACGTCCCGTAAACGGGCGTATAAAAACTTAACAGAGCAATGAACTGTGAAAATGAGGTCAAGGTCAAATAAAACCTGCGCGACTGACATAAAGATCATAAAAATATTTCCATACACCAAATATAGTTGACCTATTGCATATAGTATTAGAAAAAAAGACCAAAACTCAAAATCTTAACTTTGACCACTGAACCATGAAAATGAGGTCACGGTCAAATGACACCTGCCAGCTAGACATGTACATCTTACAATCATTCCATACACCAAATATAGTAGACCTATTGCATACAGTATAAGAAAAACAGACCAAAACACAAAAACTTAACTATAACTACTGAACCATGAAAATGAGGTCAAGGTCAGATGACACCTGCCAGTTGGACATGTACACTTTACAGTCCTTCCATACACCGAATATACTTGACCTATTGCTTATAGTATCTGAGATATGGACTTGACCACCAAAACTTAACCTTGTTCACTGATCCATGAAATGAGGTCGAGGTCAAGTGAAAACTGTCTGACGGGCATGAGGACCTTGCAAGGTCGCACATACCAAACATAGTTATCCTACTACTTATAATAAGAGAGAATTTAACATTACAAAAAATTGTTAACTTTTTTTTCAAGTAGTCACTGAACTATGAAAATGAGGTCAAGGACATTGGACATGTGGCTGACGGAAACTTCCATATACAAAGTATGAAGCATCCAGGTCTTCCACCTTCTAAAATATAAAGCTTTTAAGAAGTAAGCTAACGCCGCCACCGCCACATCCCTATCCCTATGTCGAGCTTTCTGCGACAAAAGTCGCACGCTCGACAAAAACTGGAAAATCCCAATAAAACACCATAACTCAGAAATGTAAAATCTAAAATTTATAAAATTCTAAAGGGAGCTTACGGATTGATAATTTAGTCTTAGATGCAAGATTTTTATATCAGTTGTTAGTGGCTTTGAACTAGCTGTCAGTAACTGCAAGTACTCTCAGATCTGTACTTTCTGTCTTTTTCTTGTTTGGATGTACAACTACCCGACCACATCCACTTGTATTTGTATTTATCCATCTGATGAGTTAAGCCTCTTTCAAGTGATTTTTATAGTTCGTTCTTATATTGTACTGTTACACCACTGTCCCAGGTTAGGGGGAAGGTTGGGATCCCGCTAACATGTTTAACCCCGACACATTCTGTATGTACATGTATGTGCCTGTCCCAAGTCAGGAGCCTGTAATTCAGAGGTTGTCGTTTGTTTATGTGTTGCATATTTGTTATATTCGTTCATTTTTTGTACATAAATTAGGCCGTTAGTTTTCTTGTTTGAATTGTTTTACATTGTCATTTCGGGCCTTTTATAGCTGACTATGCGGTATGGGCTTTGCTCATTGTTGAAGGCCATACTGTGACCTATAGCTGTTAATTTCTGTGTCATTTGGTCTCTTGTGAGAGTTATCTCATTGGCAATCATACCACATCTTCTTTTTTATATTTACATCAACAGATATAAACAATTCACCAAAGTCAAGGTGAGACAACAAAACTTAGTGGTAAGATCTCTGAAATTTTTTACACGGTACAAGTTTTTCTCATTGTTGGAGATTGTAAGGTGACAGTAACACCTGTAACTGCTTAAACCCATTTCTTATGCACTTTAGTTCGATAAACTCACTGAATATCATACCACATCTCCTTATTTTTATATGCATTACAATTTACATGTGCATGTAATTATAAATATATATATATCAGAACAAAATTCATTGCGTCACTTTTATTTCTGCATCCTTTGGCACAATACAAGTTTTAAAATTACACAACATAAAACAACTAAATGTTATTTCAGATGAAAGTTTTGTTTCAGTTCCATTCATAGGATTTGTTAGAATTTTGTATGTTTTGCCAAGTCCAATAATTCGCTCTATGTGCACAGGTTAATTGGAGACTTTTCTATCCCGTATAAGAGTTTTGGAACAAATTATGTTTCTTTTTTTGAAAAAAATTAGCAAACAAATCTTGCACATTTAAACCTTTGTCTGCCATCACATAACTGAACTACATTTTGTATTCTACATCTTTCAACTATTTCATAGTCACTGGTAGAACCAACATATGCAGTAGAGACATAGTTGACTAAACCACCAGGCGTCGAACATACAAGTATTTTCAGTGTTTCTGTTTTTATATGATGAAAAGGTTGCCTGAGCTCTAGGAGCTTTAGTTTTATCACGGGATATTCTGTGCTGTCAATAATAATCCAAGTCGTAGGAAACTTTAATTTGAAGTTGGATGGCGAAAAATGCCTGACTAAACCACTAGATGGCCAAGTGTTAGCCTCACACCACTGTTTAGGCATAAAAACAATCCATGTATATACACAATATTCTTAACACTAGATTCAATCTAGAATCTAGAAAGTTCAAAGTTGGTTGTATAATGCCTCAATTTCATCAAAGTCATAAAAAAACTGATTTTCAACTGACACCCTATCAATTTGAAAATATATGTATCTCAAACAATGTGCTGTTGGACCAAGTGTGGTCAAAACAAATAAAAATTTAGTATACAACTCTAAACTGGTATAAAAATGCATGGCTGTGTCACGTGTCTTCATTTCAAAATTCTCTGCTGAAAACATAGACATTGATGGTGTTTGCGTAATTCCATCTTTGAAGCTCAACATTAGCTCAGCAGTTGGTGGTGGACAGTCATAAATCCTTTCTGCAGTATGAATGACTTCTTCAGGAAAACCAACTTTACAATCAAAACTTTCCTCTAGATTTCTACTACAATATTCATCAAGTTTAGTTCTTTTGTTTTCACAGGAAACTGCCCTGATTTTTCTTTTTGCGGACGATTCAGTCTCTTGCTTGGTCCAGGAAAATAGGCTGGGAATGGCAGTAGACTTAGGTCTCTGTATGGTGGGTTTGCGCCCTGAAAAAGGTTATAAAACATTAGTTTTTTGATAATTAAATGAACTTCCATTAGCAATGTATACTTTGTATTACCTGGCGAAATATT